CACAGAGAGCTGTGGGGGCGGAGTCCGTGAGTAAATTTAAGACTGAGATAGGTTCTTCATCAGTAGGGGAAATTGAGGGTTATAGGGGATAAAAGCAGGAAAAAGGATGTGAGAAATGTTAGATCAGCCACATTCCTATTTTATGCTGGAGCAGGTTCAGGGGCTGACCAGCCTACTCCTGTTCCTATTTCTTATGGTCTTATAAGCATGCATCGGGTGGGAGGGCATTTACAGGATGACAACCTGCAACTAGAGGAGCACTACAAGGATCAGTGCTGGGAGCATAATTATTTAAAATATAAATGACTTGTTGAGGAAAGTGAATTTACTGCAGATTAGTTTGCAAATCACACAAAAATAGGTGGGAAGTTAAGTGATGAGGATGATAATGTCTGCAGATGGATTATAGACAGGTTCTTCTCCTGGATGGTTGCATAGCTTTGTCCTGAATAGCAAGTCAAAATTTCTAGTGACTTTCTGTTCAATTATATTTAATGCATTATGCTTTCTCCTGATGGTTACATGCTTCAACCGTATACATCTCAGTTGTGTGTCTTTTTTTCAAAATTTTGAAAAATTATACCTACTCTCTATCGGTCTCTTGCCTATATCATCTCCCCAGGGTTCTGGTGTTACTGAATCTTTGAGGCTGATTGTCATTTTGCTCTTCCTCTTGCTGTTTTGACCTAATGTTAGACTTTGAGACAAGAGATGGAGGGACTGCCTCAATCTCCTATCCATCAGTAACCTTTCTGCAATGGTGAACAGTGTGAACTTTAGAGAAGATTGAGAAGTTTGTTGTTCTTCAATAAACATACAAAATAGGAACAGGAGTAAGCAATTTGGCCGTCTTCAGCTTTGTCACTCTACATGATCGTTGCTGAACATTCAACTCTGTGCCCGCTTCCTGCTTTCTTCCCATCACCTTTGTTATCTTTAACCTTAAGAACTATATCTCCTCCTTGGAAACACTGATCACTTTAAGTGGCAAAGAATTCAACCAGCTCACTGCTTTCTGGATGAAGAAATTTCTCCTCATTTCAGTCTGAAATGGTTTGCTCCACATCCCTTAAACTGTAATCCTTGGTTCTGGATTCCCTGCACGTCAGAAAAATCTGTCCTGCATTTACCCTGCCTCGTCTTTGCCCCTGTTAGAATTTTATAGGCTTATCATAGAATCCCTACAGTGTGGAAACAGGCCCTTTGGCCCAACAAGTCCACACTGAACCTTGGAGCAGCCCACCCAGACCCATCCCCTTATAACACACCTAAGCTACACATCCCTGAACACTACGGGCAATTGAGCATGGCCAATCCACCCAACCTGCACATCTTTGGACTGTGGGAGGAAACCGGAGTACCCGGAGGAAACCCACACAGACACAGGGAGAATGTGCAACCTCCACACAGACAATCGCCCAAGGGTGGAATCAAACCTGGGTCCCTGGCGTGGTGAGGCAGCAGTGCTAACCACCAAGCCATCCAAATTCATAAAGACTATGCAATGTCTCTTGGGGTTGAAGAAGATATGTGAAAATGCATAGCTCCTGCAACGGTGGGCAGGTGAACTGGAACTGGTGGCGGGCGGTGGAGAAAGGTGTGCAGGTGGAAAGAAACCTCAGAAAACACACTCTTGGTACCAATTACCTTTAACAAATGTATCAAGCAAAAGAAAGGATACACTGTTTCAGTATCACATTGTGACTGATTATTGTTTAACACAAAACTTATGTCTCAGTGTCAGTCAGTAGGTCTCACATAGTTTCTATCTCAGCAATTTCATGAATGCCTGATGTGATGATAGTGTTGTAGTATTCTGGTTGAATCCTTATCCCTAGCTTTCCAAAATTAGGTATTTGAAATTTTAGGAAAATGAAATGAAAAGCAAGAGATTTCATTTTAAAAAAGAAAGAAAATCAAATTAGGCAAAGATGTAAAACACAAAAAAGCAAGAATGTCACACTTTCACAACAGTCTAAACAAACAATTTGAAAAACTACTATTGAAATGGAAAATGAGAGCTTTTCAATGTGTTAGACTGGTGTTCTGTAGGAGCTCCAGATCCACACAAGGGGAACATGATCAACGTAGCAGTATGCCATCCGTGTGGCATATTACCTGTCAATGCCTTGTTACATTGGCACCAGTACAGACTTGCCACCATATGTACGGACTACAAAAGACTTTCCAAACTTGTAACCTCTAGCACAAGAGCAGCAGATACACTGCTATACCAGTACCTGGAAAATTCTCCACTACAATGTTGCTGAATTAAAATCATTAACCACTACAGTTGTAGGGGAAGGTGTTCCAAAATAGAAGGCTCACCTCCACTTTCTCTGGGACAATTAGAAATGGCCAGTAAAACATTGCCTTTTCGGTAATGCCCACATCTCATCTTGAGATTATTGAAAACTGAATGCTGAATAAGCAGTCTGACAGCACAGCAGCAGTGGAGGGATAAAGGTAGGCATTGGTGAGGCAGAGATGGATGTCATTGTTGTCAGTGTGCATCTAGATTTTTGTACAGTATCAAGGAGCAATATGGTGGTAGAGTGTTTCACATTATTAAATCAGCGATGTTGTTGAACTTGTTCTAAAATCCCTAACATGGGCAGTCTCCTAAAATATTCTAACAAGTTTGAAATAGTGGTATGCATGTAATAATCTACTCAAAGCTTATTAGTTTTACCTCCACTACAAATGTGCCACCCACATTTGAATGCAAATCCTTTCATTTTAGTCGTCACAAACTAAATTATTTAAAAATTAATATCAAGTATTAAATGGTACTAATCTAAGAAGTGAAAAGGAAGAAAAATGAGAACACACTTAGAATTCTTTAAGAAATATTTATTTAGCAAATCCACAATGAAATATTTTAATAACAGTGACATAGCTGTACCACATGAAAACACGTGAAACCTTTAAGAAAATTCAACTGAAATAATAATGTGAAACAGTCCTTTGCACTTTTGTCCAATAAACAGGCAAGACATTTGTCAAACTGTAAACGAAAATTTCCTGCCATTTGCAGGCACAGAGCATATAACTATGCACACAAACATATTCTAACATTTAACCATTTACAATCATCATTCCCTCACGAGTCAGAGTATAAATATTAGGTTTTTTATCTTGCTGCTCATTTGCAAAGATTCAGCATTTTAAGAAAAACACAAACTAATCGGGTTTTAGAGGATAGCATTGCGTGTAAGGCATTTATGAAAAAATCCAGTTCTATCAGTGTTCAGTTTTAAGGCAAGCTAACGTGACAATAGCTAAGCCTGTGTCCCTTTTACAATTTACAATTCACTTGTATTTGTGAACTTTCCTTATTATCGAGTATGCAATGTTATATTATAAACTGAGGTGTTTATTTTAGGCCATTCATTAAAATTCAAAGTTTTCAATTTTCAAAAGTTGCATTGCAAATGACTCCACCCAGTTAATCTCACAAAGAGTTGTGAGAATAAGATTAGGTGTGTCATTATTTTCATAAACTTGATAATTAAGTGAATGGATTGAATTTGGATATGGTAATAAACTGATGAACTATAAGAGCTAAACTATCCAAGTTCTCACCCTCCGTTCCAGTAGTCTTAAAAACAAAACAATTGCAATTACATATTGATTACTCCACTAAGCAATCAACAAAGCATAAATTGTTTTATAGTTTGCCTGGATACAATCGTCCCACCAATGAAGAGTACAGAAATAATATTCATCCAAGACATGGGTTCATTAGCAATGCATCCATACTTTTCCACAGCAAAAAAGGTTTTTTCAAAAGTGGAGGAAACACAGCATATAGAAACATCATCATTAAATACCAATCTACTGGTGTATTATGAAAGTTGTACAATCCAAAATGTCTCATACACCTCTGGTCAAAAGGAAAATACTTGTTCTTGGCATTAAAACGTCAGAGAGCAGGACACAGGACAATCTTGATGACAAATGATTGAGAAGTAGATATTCTAGATTAATTTTCAGGTTATGACCAATGTATGCATATTTTAAAGTATTACATCTGAACTGATTGCACCAAAGCATTTTCGAAACTGAAAACAAGTCTGTTTGTGTTCGTGCACATATGTCCTTTTAGTAAATGCTCTCTTTTATTTCCCCCACTTGCAATCAACTAATCAGCTACTGAAATTTCTTTGTCTACCAGACTGGATAACTCAGAAGAGTATGATGCCAGCAAAATTCTCTATTCTTGTGAAAAAAAGCCATGTTTAGACATTGGAGAATCAAGAGTCCAGCAAAAAAAAAGTTGCTTTGCCCATAATAACAGGCTGTCTGTGGAACTAATTCTCCAACTTTGTAAATCAACTCGTCAGAAATCTACACCAGAAGGTAAATGATAAAGTTAGATCTTTTAAACTATCCAGAAAAATATAAGTATGACATATTTGACATGTCAGATGTTTGAATTTGAGAAGTCATTTTGAAAGTATGTAATATGTAAGAAAAAAGTAAACAAACACTAACTATTTTTGTACTGTAGAGCAAGGAGCCATAATTTAAAATTACAATTGTATTTACACTTTCATTCGAGTGTATAATAAAAAAATTCTTTTTTTAATGTGTATTTTAAAAACTCCTGGTTAGTTTGGCCAGTTATGTTTAAAATTGTAAGGACTGAAAGTAATTATTGCTATGACAGCAGCCACTGTCATCAAAAGTAACACTTGTGCTACTAAACCAGCACCATGTGCAGGTTGCTAAGTCTCGGACTATGTTTGTTTTAGTGGACTTTGCAAGTTTATTTACTATAGCTATGTATAATGTATGGAACAAAATGCATATCATCTTGTTCTATTTGTATTTGGAAGGATGTGGGGATGATATCTACACAAGGAACAGTGCAAGTGTAAATTTTACTATACACACTTTACTATATTTACAGAGCACAACGGCAGTTCCATAAATCAACCTATCCTTTCATTTACACAAGTATAAATTATATCTAATAAAAAAGCCGTATAAAAATGTTATTGCACCATTTTATTCAAAATACTAGCAAACATTTGAAGCCTTCATACTCTCAAATTCTAGAAGCTTCCAAAGGGTAAAGTTAGAAATTAACAAGCGTGATGATTCAATAAGACCTGAAACACTAATGTATGTACACAGACATGTAGTCTCAAAAACAAGTGGTTTCTCCAATCAAAACTAAAAATATACGACTTACCTTGTGTACAAACATTGCTGATCCAGTGAAAACACTAACTGTAGCTATAATTAAACTTCTGCCAAAATTATATAAATTCTTTGCACAATGAGTACAGAAAAAAACTGCAGTATTTTATGGAGATAGTTGTGATGTTTTAACATGTGCACTTTGTATTCACAAGGATCTATAATAAAAATCACTACATTGATGTCCCTCACCAAATCAGTTTGGTTATTTACAATCCATTGGGAGAACCAGTCAATTCTATAAGTGTGCTCCCTTTGCTAGGACTTTTCAAACCTCAGTTAATGCACATAACTTTTCTTGCATTACATGCTTCAATAATTACCTGCACATCAGCTTAAAAGTAAATTCTGAACAAAAGTCTTTCCTACAAGATACTGTAGCTTTGAGACGAGAACGGAAAGTGACATTGAAATTGTATAAAAGGTAACTTAGCAGTCAACATAAATTTTGGCAACCAAAGTTAGTTAACAAAAATGTCCACACACATTGGTAGTGGGAAAATCACATATGAAAAGCAGATGACAATGAACAGCTGAACTATTAATTCACCTTTACAATGTTAATCGCTTCAATTTGAGTTTATTCACAAAGGTGAGGGTCTTCAAAAATATCATAAACTCATTATATAAACTATTTCTAGGGCTCTTGTGGCACAGTAATAGTGTTTCTGCCTCTGGGCCAGAAGGCCTGGGTTCAAATCACACCTGCTCCAGAGATGTATCATACCTTTTGTGAACAGGTTGATTAAAAATATCTATAAATTATTCCTTCACTTTAGATTTGATTGCTCAGAGACTTACTCATAAAATCATTGGATAAAAATATTCAAAATAATTTGTGAACTGACATATTACAAAATAAATATATGCAATATCTGTGGGGTCCTGAATCCTAGGATAGCACCAGTTGCTAAATCTAATTATTCTCCCTCAACAGCAGCTGTAGAATATTACAAAGGATCACAACAACAAATCCAAAACCTGCTCATTAGAGCCAAATAAAATGGCCAAATAAAATAATCATTGAAGTCCATACTCAAAAAGTCCATTAAGTAACTACCTAAACCAGAAACTGTTCCTATGCTTTGTCCTGTGAATACAGGCTTGTAACCATGTTCAGAACTTCATAAACTCATTATCAAGATATGAAAGTACCAATTGCAACTTCATAACCCAATTAAGATCCCTTTTTAAATATACATTTCCCTTTAGTTCCTTCAAATAACAGATCAAATATTAACAGGCGATCTCATTATGGTTCAGTTGGAAGATTGTCAAAGGAACAATCATACGCAAATGTTTATAGCAAGTTACATATTACTATCAGCTGATCATTACAACCCTACTAATTACATAAATCACATTATACAATACAAGCAAGCACACAGTGGGTAGTTGTACCGTAGTCAAAAATTGAGTTACAGGTATGCAGCCCTTAAGTACAAATTTTCATAGTGTGAAGCACTGATGTCAAATAGAACACGATAAACGCAATCAACGTATCACAAAAATAGACATGGACTCTTCAAGTTGCATACATACAATGGATTGATTACTGGTTTTGAATGTGTGATCCTTTCTGATTAAAACGACGAAGTATGGAGGTAACAGCTAGTTAACATGGAGGGGAATGTTTATAAGGTGGAAAAGCTAGAGCTTTGGTTAGCCCTGGCTGTTTCAGGCATCAGTGTTTCTTCCCCATATGTAGGTACAAATATAAATGAATTCATTCGAAAACATAAACTCTGCACAGTAAAAACCAACAGAAGCAGCCAAAGTTCGTAAAATTCAACAAATTGTGGGGCTGCAGTCTCAGTACAATTGGTCATCTTGTCATGCAGGGTTAATTACCTCAGTATATCCTTCGTAATCAAATCAACTATCAAAATGCAGTCAGCCCAAAGTTGCATCGACATGATAACATACCAGCAAAATCTGACCAGGTATCTAAGGCTGGGTCATACCTCTGCACCATGTTCAGGTATGATGATCCTGAGTGACCTCCCACCACATAGAGGTAGTTGTCTATGATAGCCGCACCAACTCCTGTCATGGGAAGGGGGGAGGAAAAAAGTCCTTTGATGAAAACTCCATAGAACATGGAAAAAATAAACAAATATTGTGCATGTAAGTGATTTGCATGGAAGTTAGAGTTGTGAAATAGTGGTAAGAACCTTTGATTAGAGTCAGGCATTATATAATGTAAAGGTGGTGGGAGGGGCAGGCGGGAAAGAGTTTCTGAATTGTGTTTGAAGTATTTTCTGGATTAGGATGATTCTGGCTGAAGAAGCTAGAAGGCATGCTGGATTTGGTGTGGACAATGAAGTGGATCAAGCAGATCAAGTCTCAGTATGAAAACATTTACGGAACAGTGATAATAGCACCATATACTTTAGGTTAGTTTAGGAAAGGACAAGGAATAATCTAGAGCAAAAATACCTAATACGAGGAGGAGCAGTTTCAGTGGAGTGAAATTTATAAGAGAGGTTGTATAAGAAAGGCTGTCTTACTCTCAAAGTTGTGAAATCAAAAGAAGTGGCTGGGATACATCAGGACAGAAAAGTAAGGATACAAATTGCAGGATACTAGCTATAAATTTTTCAGTCCCCCATAGATACAGGAGTGATGTCAGTGGACTGGAGAACTTGAAATGTTACACCTTTGTTCAACGGAACTGTGCAAAGATGAACATAGCAACTTCAGACAAAAGCAGATTAACCTCAGTGGTAGATAAGATTTTAGAAACAATTATCTGGGCAAATTTCACAGTCACTAAGACAAAAATTTGGATTAATTAAGATGATTTTGTTCCAGGAAAATTGCGCAATATCACAGAAAAATGCTTATCCCATTAAGCTTTTTGAGAAGGTAATAGAAATGGTTGATGAGGACTTTCTAAAGGTATTTGATAAAAGCACTACATCACATATTGACGTTCGTAGAATAACAGAGAAAAGTAGCAGCATAGATACAACATTGACTGTGCAACAGGAAACAGTAGTGGGCAAGAATTGTTAAATCAGAAAAAGCTTTGAACCTTGTAAGAAGCTTGGTATACACTGTACAATTTCAAAAGTTGCAGATTACGCGAAAAAAGTCAAAGTGTTCTGAACTTTAGAGAGGATAATGATAGATTTCAAGAGGACGCAGATTGATGGAATGGGCAAATAAGTGACAGATGAAATTTAATGCAGAGATGCATGAAATGAAAAAATGAGAATATTTAAAAAATGTACAGTTCTAATGGGAGTGCAGGAAAACATACTTCCATACATGCTCAAATTGTTGATGGTGGCAAGGTAGGTTGAGTAAATGATTAGAAAAATAGTTGAGATACTGAACTGGAAATTAGGGGCAGAGATTACAAAAGCAAGGAAATTATGAAGAAACTTCATAAAAACATTGTTTTGGCTTCAATTAAAGTATTGTGCTCAATTCTAGGCAGCACATTTTAAGTACTATGTGAAGGCATCGGAGAGCGTGCAGAAAAGGTTTAGAAGAATGATTCCAGAGATGTAGTACTTCGGTTGTGTAGGTAAATAAGAAGAGAAAAAGTTAAGAGGAGACTTGATAGCGAGGTGTTCAAAATCACAAGGGGGCCAAAGTAAATAGAGAGAAACTGTTGCCTCTCATCGATACCACTTCACTTAAGGCAGGAGCAGTGCTCCGAAAGCTTGTAATTTCAAATAAACCTGTTGGACTGTAACCTGGTGTTTTGTGACTTCTGATCTTCTCATGGATAGAGAAGAGGAGGGCACTCATTTAAAATACGACAGAAAAGAAGAGGATACTCATTTAAAGGTTATTGGTAAGAGGACGAACATGCAGTGCATCTGATTTGGATTGCATCACCTGAGAGCGCACAGAAGGCCAATTCAATCATGGCTTTCAAAAGGGAATAGCGTAAGCAGAAATAAATTTACAGGGTCACAACTAAAGAGGGGAAAATTGTAATTAGTCAATTGGAATTGGAATTGATCGTGCTAAGAGCTGATGTGGATGGAAGGTCCCCTATGTAGTAACCATTCGATGATTGTCTCACAACTGTAACAAAATTAAACCATATATCTTTAACAAAAATTAAGAAAAAAATGCATAATCGATTTTTTTTTTGCAAATTGCTACATCACATCACAAGACCACCTGCGACTATTTAAACACACATTTACCTGTTCTGGGATCACTCATCGGCCTGCATAACGTCCATTGATTTTGATGGGGTTCATACCTCTCAACACTTTGCAAGTGCGACACACCATTGTGTCCACCAACAACAAAGATGAATCCAAGCATAGAACCAACACCAAAGTTAATTCTTTTATCAGCCATTGGAGCAACCATCTCCCAGGAATCTTTGCTTGGATCATAACGCTCCACGCTATTTTTCCAAAAGAAAGTAAAAGTAAAAACAGAGAAGGAGGTTAAATCAGACAATTCTTATAGTTTCTGGAGCAAGACAAGGGGTCATGAGATAGCAAACAAACAGGAGAACCTGATCAGATCTTTTCCTCCTCTTTACTTATAGAACACCAGAATGAAGTTTAGTGTTCAACATATCTTGGCTAAAAATAACAAATTCAGGAGGTCAGAGATCATATCAGGATTTTCCTGAATTGTATAGTTTAAGTATTACAAAAAGAAGTACATTTTTATTCACATCATGTGGACACTCCTAGCAGGCCAGCATTTACGCCAATTCATAATTGCTCTTGAAAATCAGTAGTGAGCCACCTTCTTGAACTACTGTTGTCCATGTGGTGTAGGTACACCACAATGCTGGAAAGGAGTTCCAAGACTGGCCCAGTGACAATAACGGAACAGTGACACAATTCCAGGTCAGGATGGTATGCAATTTGAAGCGGAACTTGCAGCAGGTCATGCTCCCCGTATGATACACCAAGATCCTTATGTTAAATAGGCAGCAAATCACTTTCAGAAACATTTTTAAAAAAAAAAAGGTATTGTTGTACATCAATAATTTAGCATAAACACTGGTTTCTATCTTTCCCTTCCACTCTGTTTCCTGTCCATAAGCCCAGTCCTTATTGGGGAAGAACCCAGTACTTAAATACAAAGTCATTTGAGCATCACCCACTCTTAATTCAACTATGGGACTGTTCTGTTTCACCCTTAAAATGGGACCTGGATTTTTAACATCAACATTGCCATTGCAAAGGCTTGGGTTGCAAATAACAAAATATTTATGCCATAAAACGTACCAGCAAATGACATATTTAACGAGAGAATCTAACCATCCCCTTTTGACATGTAATGCGATTATCTTCAATTCCTCTTTGTCAACATCCTGGGGATTACCATTGGCCAAAAGTAAATGAACTTGACCAGCCATTTAAACACTGTGGCTACAACAGCAGGTCAGAAATTTGAAATTCTGCAGGATGTAACTCACCTTCCAACCGCTGCAAAATCTGTCTACCATCTTCAAGACAAACTCAAGTGTGTGATGAATGCTCCCCACTTGCTTGAATGAATGTAGCTCCAACAACATGCAAGAGGTCAAATAGCATCCAGGTCAAAGCAGTCAATTTGATTTCCACCCCATCCATTACCTTAAACATTCATTCCCTCCACCACAAGTGTACCACTCACCAAGGGTGCTTTGAAAGCAACTTCCAAACTAGCAAGGAGAAAGGCAAATGTGTGGGAAGTACCAAGTCTCACACCATGCTGAGTTGGAACTATATAATTGTTCCTTTGCTGTTAGGAAAGGAGTTACAGGATTTTGACCGCAACAGCAGAGGGTATACCTACACCATATGAACTGCGATAACAAGGTGTAGAGCTGGATGAACACAGCAGGCCAAGCAGCATCAGAGGAGCAGGAAGGCTTGTCAAGATACTTCACTGCCACCTTCTCAAGGCAACTATGGATTGGCAATAAGTGTTGGCCTGGCCAACAATGTTGTTATTCCTTAAAGCATAAAGGGTAACGTATGAATACTCTATACACAAAACATGATGCTTAAATAGTTAACTGGCATAAATTCTTTTAAGGAATTTTCTAAGCCAATAAGAAAGATGTAACTGTAATTTTGGAAAGTTTCAAGACCAGAAATATAATCATCATTGATCTAAATAAGGAAGAGTTTGCAGTTAAAAAGTGTAATCTTTTATTCTTCCATAAATAGATCAAATTAAATATATCTTTCATCCATAGCCGTAGCATTCAAGGAAGAAACATTCATGTTCACTCCCAAGCCTCCCCCTCCTAATCAGTTAATAGTAAACTCTGGTAGAACAAGTGCACACTTACATATACTGGTACCTACATATTTTAAAACAGGGCCCAATTCTGACAGACGTAAAATTCTGACAGCCTGATTTAACATTTAGCATTCAAACAAAGCCTGTCAATTATCTGTCAATCAGCATTAATGGATGCATTCTCAATGGCAACACCTTGACCAGATTCTACTGCCAATGAGCAATCTCTTCTTGTACAGTACAGATGTTGGTTTTTCCCTAAAATTGATATTCTTACACATTATCCTGCTCAGGCAAGATGAAACATGGACAAAATGATCTTTATCAGCAATATTCAAATACAAATCATTTTGATATATGTGAAGTAAGATAACATATAACTTTATGGACGTTTAAAGTATTGTATCCTATGCAATAAACATTGTACTGAATTACCTGTTCATGTGAGCAGGGCCATATCCACCTATAGCATATATCATTCCATCTAAAACTGCAGCTGCAAAACAGCTTCGACTTTTTCCCATAGGTGCAACTGGCTGCCACTTTTTGATTTTAGGAGTGTATTTCTCCACAGATTGCAAATAGTTTTCCCCATCATAACCACCTAATGCATACAGTTCACCAGCTAATACAGCCACTCCAAGAGTGCTTCGACACTCATTCATTCTTTCTACAGCTGTCCATTTGTTGGTCTCCGGATTCCAACCTTCTACCAAATTCTCGTGTTTCCGATAATTAATGCCTTGCTGAATGTGGGTTGCAATTCCTCCGACCACATAAAGCTTCTGATCGACAACAGCAACTCCACATTCATAGCGTGGACTACTAAGTGGTGCCAGACCTGTCCAGGAGTCTGTCTGCGGGAAGTACATCTCCACACTGTAGCAGAAATGGAGAAAGAAAAATGACACAGATTAAATATTAACCTGTTTATAACAGGGTGTAGCTAGCAGCAACATTTACATAATCACTTTTAAAAGTAGGAAAATATCTTAAAACACATCGCAGAAAAGTGAAAAGACAAAAAAAAAGTCAAAGCGGGTATCAGGATAGGAATTTAAAAAATGAGTCCCCATCCATTAGCGCATTTTGGGCACAACATCACGTTGAACTCTTCTTTTGCTGCCACGGCCTTTGCCTCTGTGCCCATTTCTTTGGGCAAGAGTCCTCTCTACATCCCACAGACCTCTTTACCCACCTCCACCTGGACCCCTCCCTTTTACCTGCACTCAACCTGTTCATCAAGAATGGTTGACATGACAAGGGTCACTTCAATTTTTCTGCCCCCCTCCCTCACTCATTCCAACCTATCTCCCCATGAAGTGAATGCACTCCATGCTCTCAGATCTAATCCTGACTTTGTAATTAAGCCTACTAATGGTGCTGTCGTTGTCTGGTGGACTGACCACTACATTGCAGAGGCTGAGTGCCAGCTCTTGGATACCTCCTCCTATTTCACCTTAGACCATGACCCCTGCGAGGAACATCAGGCCATTGTTTCCACTACGGTCACTAACATAATTTCATCCGAGGATCTCTCCCACCACCACTGCCTCCAAGCTCAGTCTCCCAACCCCACGCAGCTCGTTTCTACCTCCTTCCCAAAATCTACAAACAGAACTGACTAGGCAGACCTATTGTTTCTGCCTGCTCCTGCCTTACAGAACTCAACTCTTTCTACCTCAACTTGATTTTTCTTCTCCCCTTGACCAGTCCCTTCCCACTTAGATCGACGATTCCTCTGATGCTTTATGTCAGTTTCAGAATTTCCAGTTTGTGGGCTCCAACCTCTTCCTCTTTACCTGCCTGTTTACTTCCACCCTCCTCAGTATCCAAGGGCCCAAACACCTTCCAAGTGAAGTAGCGCTTTACCTGCACTTCACTCAATCTAGTCTAGCTATTCGCTGCTCATAATGGGGTCTCTTCTACATTGGAGAAAAGAAGCATAAACTGGGTGACCACTTTGTGGAACATCTACATTCTATCTGCAAAAAAGACCCTGAGCTTTAAGTTCCTTGCCATTTCAACACACAACCTTGTTCCCTGGCCAACATCTCTGTCTCAAGCTTGCTGCAGTGCAATGAGCTTCGCTGGAGCAAGCTAGAAGAACAGCATCCCATTTTCTACTGTGGAACTGTACAGCCTTCTGGACTCAATATTGAGTTCAATTTTAGGGCCTGAGGCACCTTCTCCCATGTCCTTACCCCAAGCTCCACACACCAGTTATCAAAGGTCTGCTATTACACATAACCCATTGTTAACCACTAATAGTCCCCATTAGCAATATTAATTCTTGAAGGCTGCCCATTATCCACTCCTTTGTCTGTCCGATTGTTCGCTCTTTAGGCTCTATCTCCACCTATCATTTACTCCTTATCCCCCATCTTCTGCATAAAAAACAACTAGCTACCATCAGTTCTGAAGAAGGATCACTGGACCCGAAATGTTAATTCTGATGATTTCTCTCTACAGATAATGCCAGATCTGCTGGAGTTTTTCCAGGAATTTCTGTATTTGTTTCTGATTTCCAGAATCCACAGTTCTTCCAGTTTTTATTTGTCAAAAGAGGAAGGGGGGATTCACAACAGGCAAA